AACTTTCAGTGGTCAAAATTGGTAGCTTCATATAGTAAAAAGCAATAAAATCAGTGGTGAGATCCAGCCAGTTCGCACCACTTCAGGAGAACTGGTTGTTAACTTTCTGAGCAGTTTGGTGAACTGGTTGTTGGAAGAAATCATTGGGGCAAAGAACTGGTTGTTAAATTATTTGAATCCCACCACTGAATAAAATCATCTGATGTTAAATAGGTTTAAAACAAAAGTGTTTAAAAAGGAGAGAGACAAAAAAACCATCCAGCAACCTGGAAAATTATCATAATCCCAGCTTTACATTGTCTATGATATAGCCCCCACATATTTAGCACAATTGTCCAACCTACAGCAACTGTTCCTCTCATTCCTCAAATCTTGGAATCAAAAGGTCAAATCAAATATTTATTACAGTCAAATACCAGCACAAGGAGAGTAGGGTCAAAATGTGGTCATCCCTATTTTATAGAATCACATAAATTACAAGAATATAGTTTAATTCAGTATCATAGAGTACTGAAAAGAAAAATGTATAACTCAGGATTATACCTATGCAAAAAAAAAAAAAAAAATCGCATGCAGTCAATTAAGGGAAGAGCTAAAAGAAATATATTGTTTGTATATGTGTTGGATGTAATGGACACAAAGCATGGGAAAGAATGGTTTTTGAGAAGCTGATCCATACATGCAGCATAAAACATTGGGGAGGCACATAGAGATAGCCATTTTAATAGACACTGACAAGTACGATCTGGAATACTCTTACTTCTGTTTAGGAGGAATCCTACCAAAGCTACAATCCAGGGGTGGGTTCTACTTACCTTTACTACCGGTTCACAGCAGGGCCGCTCACACGCTCGCTCTTCTGCACATGAGAAGAAGCGTTTTGATGATGTTGGGGTCGGTGGGTGGACTCTCCCGCCGGTTTTAGTACCGGTTCTATAGAACCGGGGGCAACCCACCACTGCTACAATACAGATATTGATTTCTTTAATAAGTTAAATCTGACCTAATAGGAAGAATAACTTCTTTTCATTAACAAACTGCTATAGTGATATTTTTATAATTGATAAGAAGGTTTTTTTTATGCTTAGTTGTACAAAACACTGTAGGTTCCTCCAAGGTCAAGACTATGGTAATGATCTTGTAAGAACATTTTAAAAGAATAAGACCACCTGTATAGACATGGTCTTATAAATATTAAAAATCCCTGAGAACATCACACTCATGTTAAATGAGAAAAGTTTACCTTATTTTTTCCAGTAGCCAGAGTTATCAGTGCAATCTCAACCAAATCTCCAGATCCAGGAAATGCCAATCCATATTTTGTGAGCTCTTCTATAAAAGTGATGGCCAGCAATGATCATTCCTTATTTCTTAACAATTAATTTGGCTTACAGAAGTCCCAAATTAAATATTGCAGGTTGCAATATTGCAACTTGCCTGAATTGTGTTTCAATATTTTACATTCTAGATTCAAGCTAACTTCAATAATATTGCCACTCTCCTTTTAGCTGTTTTCCACCATTATGCAAATGACACCAATAACACCAGAGAAGGGGCTTTGCATAGGTGGTCTGATTGGATTTGATATGTACTTGGAAGATGGTGGGCTGGTTTATCATGAGGCCTATTTGAGGGCCTACCACTGTGGGTTATATAGTTGCTTGGAGGTGTTGCAACATCAGGAAAGCCATCTGTAGAACTCTGTGGAAGGACATATTTCCAGAGCAGATTATAACATAAGGACTATTGCTTCTTTATTCTTCTATCTTTTCATCTCACTCCCAGCATTCCAATAAATGGCACTATTAAGCAGTCAGGGAGGAGCAAGAAAGACAAAATGGCTGCCCAGGGATTTTGCAGACAGGCATCAGGCTAAATAATCAGAGCCCAAGCCCAAGAGTAAGAGTAAAATTAAAAGACAGGCAGCCCAACTGAGAAAAAGGAAAGGAAGCACAGCTGAGACAATTAGTAAATGAAAAGCTTTTTCTCCTTGCCTCAGATCTTCCATGAAGGAAAAATTATTCCAGCTGTTTCCCTCAGATTGAGCAAAGATTGAGAAAAAAATGAGCCACGTAGTTCAGCCAAGAACAAAAAGAAGAAGAGAAGAGGAGGAGGAAGAGGAAGAGGAGGTAAAACAAAAGTAGAAAATTGAAACTAAAGGTGGGGTATTATGGGTGATTAAAATATTGTTTTAGTAATATGTTTTCCTGTTTTGTTAAATAAAATTCTGTCTGCCCCAGCCATTGAAGAGGAATTTTAAAAAACCTATCCAATCATCCAATTTTTCTCCTTATTGAGTCTAGGTCAATCTGGTTATTTGTGATTCAAAAGAGTTGCAATTTGTATGAAGGACACTTATTGTGATGAGTTGGGCAGTGGGAACTGGCAAGAATGCAAATGGTGGGGTCACTCCCACTGCTTTTTTGCCTGCTTACGGTTTTTCTGTTTAATTTGTTTAGGAAAGAAAATATCTCTGAAAGGATGACTTAACAGATTACAAGTTGTCTCATGTAATATGATGCTAAACAAAAAAGTGCATAGGCTACAGTTTTACAGTACAATTTAGTAGTAATGTATGCATGTAAAGAAATAATCTATTGTAAATTAAAATCACCCTTATAAAAATTGCTGTAGACACCCATGATAAATTTAGGCCTGGGATGTTGTAGTCTGGGTTGTTACTTCATACTTTAGTATAATACAGTATATTATATGGACCCAGAGAATTGGGTTAATTGAGCAAATCATGTTTAAATTAACTATAAGTAAACATAGTTATGAGACTGAAACCATTGAATGGATATTTAGTATGTCAAGCCATAATGTGATTTGTTTGGTTTAGACTTAGCATGATATCCAAACTTAGTCACTATGGTTTGTAAAACTTTGTTTAGTTTATCCACCATGCTAAAAGCTAAATGATGTAGCCATCCTTTGTTGAATAAATTGCAGCTGGCTAGGCTTGCACACCCTGTTTAGCAGAAGTCAATGAAAAATTTAGTACAATGGAAGAACCCAGGTGTCATCATTCAATATGCAACATAATAAATTTTGAAAAATAATTTGAGTTTCTAGGAAAAAGGCAAGATTGCAAAAGAGATGATTGATAATAAAATGAGACAAAAAGCCAAATAAGGCTCTCTAGCAAGATCAGCTAGTGATCTTGAGTGAGGGTTTCTTCCCTCCCTCCCTCCCTGAAAGAGGCAGTGGTGAGGCCCCTCCTCAAGAAGCCTTCCTTGGACCTGGCTGTACTAGCGAAATATTGTCCAGTCTCCAACCTTCGCTTTATGGCGAAGGTTGTTGAGAGTGCGGTGGCGCGACAACTTCCTGCCTCCCTGACCGTACACAGTTTGTGTTGGCAGGTGGACAGAGGTCGACCTCGAGGCGCCTTGTTTATGGGGTGCCGCAAGGGTTGGTCCTCTCGCCCCTTCTGTTCAACATTTATGTGAAGCCGCTGGGTGAGATCATCCATGGTTTTGGGGTGAAATGCCATCAATACGTTGATGATACTCAGCTGTACATCTCCACCCCGGACCACCCCAATGATGCCCTTGACGTGATGTCCTGGTGCCTGGAGGCCGTGCGGATCTGGATGGGGAGAAACAAGCTCAGACTCAACCCTTCCAAGACTGAGTGGCTGTGGTTTCTGGCGTCCTGATATAGCCAGCTAGCTCCATCGCTGACTATTGGGGGCGAGATCTTGACCCCGTCAGAGAGGGCTCGCAACTTGGGTGTTCTCCTGGATGCATGGCTGTCTTTAGAAGACCATATGACAGCTGTGGCCAGGGGAGCTTTCCATCAGGTTTGCCTGATTCACCAGTTGCGTCCCTTTCTGGACCGGGACGCCTTGCGCATGGTCACTCATGCCCTCGTCACATCCCGTCTGGATTACTGTAATGCTCTCTACATGGGGCTCCCCTTGAAGAGCACTCGGAGGCTCCAATTGATCCAGAATGCGGCCGCGCGGGTGATTATGGGGGCGACACGGCGCACCCATGTAACACCTCTCCTGCGTGAGCTGCACTGACTCCCGGTGGTCTTCCGGGTGCGATTCAAAGTGCTGGTCACCGCCTTTAAAGCGCTCCATGGCTTAGGACCTGGGTATATACGAGATCGCCTTCTGCCACCGATAGCTTCCCACTGGCCAATACGTTCCCACAGAAAGGGACTCCTTAGGGTGCCGTCGGCCAAACAATGTCAACTGGCGACACCCAGGGGGAGAGCCTTCTCTTGGGGGCACCTGCCCTCTGGAATGAACTGCCCCTGGAGGTTCGCATGATCCCCGACCTACGTACCTTTTGCCGTGCCCTTAAGACTCTTTTGTTCCAACAGGCTGGGCTGGCTTAGAAAATGAATTTTAAATTGGGTGTTTGTAGCTTTTAACATAACGGCCAAATTTATATATTTATTTTAAATTGTTTTTAAATTTTGTGAGTATATGTTTGTTTTAATATGGCTGTACACCGCCCTGAGTCCTTCGGGAGAAGGGCAGTATAGAAGTTTAAAAATTAGAATTAGAATTAGAATTAGAATTAGAAACACACACACACATACACACCTGTTGATCAAACAGCTTGCAATCAACTATTCCACTGGGAAAGTGTCAGAAAGTAAATCCAGAGCTTGAAAGGAATGTGTGGCATTTGCACTTGTAAGGCTTGCCTATAAAAAGACACACTTTGTCCCCCCTTGAGAATAGAGGCAGGTTGAGAAGCAAAGAGCTGTATTATTTTTTTTTCTGGATAATCCTCTAAAAAAAGCATTTCCATTTCAGTAAGTGTTTTCTACAGCTTTCCCAGCTCAGGTGTGCAAAAGTAGCTTGCATTTTCTATCATAGAACATGGAGCCAAGCCAGGCCCTTGTGGATGACAAAGGACAATTGTTGATTGAGGGACACGCTACTTTTTTGGAGTCCCTTCCTTTTATAGTAAACAGTTGTCTTTGCAATTTACCCACCCCTCGGGTATGAGACCCACAGCTGAGTATATAAGCCGTGGATGCAAGTATTGCCTTTTGTTCCCTGAAGTCCTTAAGGTTTTTTCCAACCAAGCACTTTGGCAAGAAATCCAGACTCATGCCTCCTAAAAAGCCTGACCCCAAGAAAGAAGCCCCCAAAGCAGCTCCGGCTCCGGCTCCAGCTCCAGCTCCAGAACCACCTAAAGAACCTGCCTTTGATCCCAAAAGTGTGACCGTAAGTAGGAGCTTCAGTTTTTCCTGTTCCAGCCTTTGCCAATTTGCTACTCTCAGATTTTTCTGATAATAACTCCTATAATTTCCAGATAACAATCCTAGAAAAGATTGTGGATAGCAAGATCCAGCACATCTGAAAGGGCATTAGGTTGAGAAGCATAGCTATTCATTACATTAAAAGATGACTTTGTTCAGACAGAGTTATCCAAGATAGTGAATTTAAATAGTGGAAGAAGCCACGTTTTATTCCGAATTTATCACTTGGCTACTCTGAAATTTAGTTTATCAGCCTCCCATTCCTTCCTTATTCAGCTTCAGGTAATATTAAATATTCATTACTTATTTTAATTAAATAATGTGATCTACAATGAATAGTTACTTTGGAAATCAGCTTCTGCTCAATGAATATAAATATATTTTGCAGAAACGGGATAGTTCAAGTTAATTGTAACTTTTAATATTTCTGATGCTTAATAAAAAATAATTCTTAGGTGTTGAAAGTTTTGATAAGATTTGTATTTAATTTGAAATTAATTGTAGAACCATTTGTTTGTAACGCTTTTTCATCAAATATATTATGATTCCAAGGAATGAATGTTATAATGTATATTATCTTGGTCCAAAAAAAACAACAACCTGAAAATGTTGAAAAATGTTTAATTTCCCATAAAATATTTATTTATTTATTTATTTATTTTCTACTGTTGTCATTGTGCTCGAATACATTCTACATATTTTCTTTCTTGTTTAAAACTCACGTTGAAAATGGAATGAATGTTCATGAAACAAATATCTGTCTCCTTTCAACATTATTTTCAACTATTTAAAGAAATCATCTACATCTAGCTTAAAAGTCTTCCAAAAGCTTCCCAAAGTTAAAAATCTGGATTTTTAAAAGTTTGGTATAGATCCCTTCTGTGATATTGTACTATTCTGAAGAAGCAGAAGATACTGTTAGTGTACAATACACTTTCCAAAACTTGTTCTCTTTTGATATGTTAGATTGTTTGTGACATCATTATCTCTTTTCTCTATGAATTTTCACATAGAAAATATGGCAGGGGTAATGGTGTCAAATGAAGGACAGCACAACTTTCTAAATTTCTTTCTTAATGGTTATGGGCTCCATTTTCATTTTCTAGGTAGAAATTCCTTTGATAATATTTGTAGAGGAATGGGCAGAAAGTAACATCAAAGATGTAGTTTTCAACATGTCATGTTGAACTCATGATATTGGAAGCACATTAGAAAATATTATCATCATAATTTATGGCATGGTTTTGGAATTTCAGGTGATATATAAACCCAACTAAAGAAAAATACATGAGACAATATAAAAATAAGAGGACAGCTATTTTTTTAAGTTCTTTATTTTCTTTCTTTTTTTAAGAAATAACTTATCCTTTGGATCTACTTGTTTTACTATTGAACATAATAATTAGGTTCATACATCATGTAATAGTACATTTAATAATTATTAATCAAATAAACCACAATTGATTGGATTTGCACAGATCCCAGGGACTGGATTTACTATAAACCCAAACTAAACAAGCTACATCACAACTTCTTTAGTTAATTTATATTAACATCCATGTATGATATGCCATACACTCACTCACTCATTCACTCACTCACTCACTCACTCACACACACAAACAAACAAATAAATAAATATTGCATGAAATAGTCAACGTATTTGCCAAAAATATCCAAAAGCCAAATGGTTTCACTGAAGCTGTGCAGAACCATAAAGTTATACAATGGGAAGGGCACTAAATTCTTTCTTAAGGCCTCTTAGATTCTTCAGTAGGGGAATCTACAGTAAAGCATTCCAGGAATATGGCTGTCTAACTTGTATCTCAACCCTTTCATAAAGGTGCAGCTTATCAATTAATTGCTTTGATTAGAGATCATGGATTAAACAGCTTTATAAGAGACTAGAAACTGTTTGTGGACTTTCTATGTGCTAAATGTAACAACGGATATTTTGTGTGTGTGTGTGTGTGTGTGTGTGTGTGTGTGTGAAAGGGGAGGAGAATTTATAGCTTTTTCTTTTCTTTCAGCACCTAGCCAGGGCGGATCCTACATGTTAAATATTAAATTTAATTTGTTCTTTTTTGTTATTGTTAGGGTTGAATTTATTCTTTTGTTTTGTTTCATTTTGTTTGTTTGTTTTACTGTTTTGTATTTTATTTTTATGATAAAATAATAAATAATAATTAAAAAAGAAAGGTGCATCTTATCATCCTGTGGAAAATTGGTTCCACTAATCAAACTGCTCTTTATTCTTTAGGACGGTAGCATTCTACAATCCTAAAGAATAATATTTCCTTTTTTCTATGTAGCATTTGCTCAGGTTTTTGTTAAGTTCTAAAATTTCCCTCCTCTATCTTTTCTTTTCAACACTATACCTTCCTAGTTCCTTTAATATTTCTTCATAGAACTACAGTATTTTCCTAATCCTCTTGTCATACGTTTTGCCCTTCTCTGAACCTGTTTCATGTTTTCTGAATCCTTCTTAAAGAGCATTGTCCAAAACTGAACACAACCAAGTTGTGGGCTGATCAGCATAGAATTAGAAGATGATTTGGAATTTGTATTTCTGTTGACACAGCTTAAAAGTGCATTTGCCTCTTTTCTAACCACATTATCATGTTTATCCAGATTCAGTTTGTAATTGATTAGTATTCCAAGATATTTTTCACAATACTATTACCAAATCCTCTAGCCTACGTACATACTTTGTTTCTTAATTGAAAAATTTTGCATTTGTCTCTATTAAATTTCATGTAAAAATGAAATGACATTTAAAATTTAAAGTTTTATTTTCAGCCCATTTCTCTACAGTACCCAAGTGCACCATTAATTTAAATCATTACATAGTGAGCCAATCTTTCACCTTTCAAGTTGGCTTTATAATACTGAATGTATAAAAGGAGCAATGCATTATCCTGAAGTAGCCTAAAGAGTTCTTCTAGCTCTGTATCCAGTTTCCAAAAATAATCAAATAACAGATAACGCTTATGAGGAATGTGTCAACTTGTTTTTCTTTGTTTGACCATAATATTTGGTGTTAAGAAGTACATTTCCCCTTAATATTTAAGTGTCAGTGAAGCTACTCTTAATAACAGCGAAACACACTGAACTAACACATGCAGTAGGTCATGTGTTGTTATCATTTGCTTTCCACAGGCACTCAAAGCTGTGATCTCTGAAGTTATCATGCAGGCAAGGGAAAAACTTTTTGCATTCCTCAACTTTGATAGTGGCACATTCTTGTAAGATAGCTCTTGCAGTTGAATTATTAATAGCTTCAGAATAGAATGGAAAAGGTTTGAGCCTTGTCTTCGGAAAGATGACTTATGCTAATAAATATATATATAAGCACAAACACAGATACTGATAAACTTGGTAAATCATAATAAATAGGCTTAGATCACTTATTACCCTAAGCCACATTGTAGGTTTTAAAAAATATATATATTATGTGAATTCAGCCTATTATTGCTAATGTACCTCGGTTCCTATGGTTAGGACTTGCTATGAATTTAATTACATTTTTGGTAAATTTGCCCAATTAACACTAATTTATAATTAAGCCAGAATTACTGAAATCTTCACCATTTAGAATATTCCTCTCATGCAGAATTCAAAGCACACACTTAAGGGTTTGCACATATTGCTTGCAGATTGTGCAAACAAAGGCACCATAACTGCATAATGGATAAGGACTGAAATGGGATCGTGGAAATCCAGTTCAAGTCTGTATTGAACATTCACTGTGTGCTTTTGAACCAGTTGCTATTTCACAGCCCAATTTACATTGCAGGAATAAAAAAATAAGAAACATAACTGGAATAACTGAAGGAAATAGGAAATAGGAGCCTTGGTAGCGCAGCAGACTAAAGCACTGTTATTAACATCAGCTGCCTGCAATTACTGCAAGTTCAAATTTCACCAGGCTCAAGGTTGACTCAGCCTTCCATCTTTTCTAAGGTAGGTATAATGAGGACCCAGATTGTGGGGGCCAATAAACTGACTTTGTATAAAATATATAAAAATATGAAGGCTATTGCTTAATGCATTGTAAGCCGCCCTGAGTCTCCGGAGAAGGGTGGCATATAAATAAAATAAAATAATAATAATCTTACAAATAATATGAAAGAAAAATCATTTGCAAAAAAAAGTATATTCTAAGAAAGGAACATACAAAGATGAGAAATGCTGATGAAAATGAATAGGACTTTTTAAACTGATGTAGAAATGTACAGGAACAAACATGAAACTGACATACTTCTACATATTTCTCCACTCACAGTGACAACATTTTCTTTCAGTTCAGGAAGAGGTCAGTGTGGAGAACCTGGACAATAAATGAAGAAGTTGAAGCTGCTAGGAGATACTATCAGAAAATAAGAAGTTGTTTTAATAGTGGGACTGCAAGAAAAAAATTGCAATGGCAGAGTGCTCCTTTTCATTCTTCCATTTAGTCAACCACATTCTCTTTCAGGATACTACACTCCAGTCTATTTCTACTCTGAATCTAGTTTTCTATCTTTCACCCCAAATCAGCATTCTGTTGGGCTCTTATTGGGCTATTTGTGAGTCCCACAACTTACCACAATCTTTTTGGTGTTTTTGAAAATCTTATGATTTCTTACAAAATTGGGTGTTAGTACTCACACATGATTGTTGGCAGCAAAGAATAGATAGTGCTCTACAGAAGATGGAACTTTTCTGTCCAGATTTTCAGTGTACTAACCACTATCTCTTGCAAGGCAAGAGATTCCTTCTTCTGAATTTTTATCTTCTCTTATCAGTTGACGGATATTTCCATACTAATGAAAATGCTTAATTTTCATTGTCTATTGTCTAATCTCTCTCTTGAGATTTAACCTTCTACAAAATAATGATAAAATAGATGATTTTGTTGAAAATAAATATCTTCTACAAAAATTCTAAAAATGTTTTCTACATAATAGTTCTTATTTAGATTATGTTCCTTCAAATGTTAATGCAGTTATTCTTAATAGTGCTTAATTAAGTCAAATCAGCCATATTACAATTCTTTTTCTGGTATTCTTTCATGTTATGTGGGGGGAAAAAATCTTCATATGTGAAATATGTATGTACATTGATTGGTTTTTAGACAAGATAATGTGAGTACAATTTTATGCACTTTGCACAGAGCTCCTGCAAATAGTTGTACTGAGTGTGTTAATGTTTACATAAAGCCAGCACATTTTGAGTTAACTGGATGGGACTGGAGTTGAAATGAGATACCGAGGTCGAGTGTTCAAGCTTTAAGAATGTCTAACTGGGCCTTATCACCTTTGGAAGATATGAGTTGGAAGACACAGGAAGATATGGGTGGTCACATACATACTGTACAAGGTTGTGAGTGTCTGTGTGATTTCCTGGCTAGATTATGAAAAACAACTAGAAACATAATACTGCTACTGTGACTATAATAACACTATCAAGAATTTTAAAACACTAAGTCTTTATGAGAAGATGAATATTTTATATTACAGAAACATTTCTGATTAAGAATTATGCTTAGCATCACTATGTGGTACTTTATAAAAGGAGCAAATAAACTCTGTTGCTTGATAAGTATTACAAGCAAAGTTTCAGAGTGAAAGAGACAACTGAGGGAAGGGGGAATGGTTCAGATAGACTCTGAACAACAAAGAGATGAAGCTAGGGAAGAAAGGGTAAGTTTTCATTTCAATTTGAAGAATACACGTGTTTGGCTGGAATATCTAACATAATGATATTTTTATGCCATTGCAATTACATGCAATTCTGTATATAGTTTAGCTTGACACATACAATAGAATTAACCCATCATTCTAAAACATAGATTGCTTAAATATGGTTTATTGAAAAATCATAGGTCATTAGATTTGAGCAATATGTAAATCCAAATTATATAAACATTATGTGAACCTGAGAAATGCACCAAATATAAAAATATAGTTTCTTATCATTGACTTCTCCTCTCCAGAGCGTATGACCAGGTTTAAAAAATGAGTAAATAAAATTATCTACAGTAAGCCTTGACTTATATGATTGTTTAATGATTATTCAAAATTATGACAGACTTTACAAAAGCTATTACAACCTGTTCTCAAAGTTACAATTGCTGCCCATCCCCCTATAGTCACATGATCACATTTTGGGTACTTGGCAAATGACTCACATTTAACACTGGTGGCAGGGTTCTGTTATCATGTGACTGTAATTTGCAATATTTTTTTGCCCTTTTCCAGCAGAACATGAAAAAAAACCCATTGGATATGCTGGATTTGCTTAACATTTCATGACTTTTGTAAAATGGTCATAAAATGTCCAGTCATGTAGTGCAGGGATATAAAACTCAAGGCTCGGGGGCCAAATCTGGCCCACAGGGTGCTTAGATTTGACCCATGGGGTCACCTTGGAAACAGCAAAGGAGTGGTCTGTGGTGCCTCTGCCAGGGAAGACGAATCTAGGGAGAGCTACGTGAGGCTCTCCTGAGCTCCATTGCAGCTGAAAATGGAACTCAGGAGTCCGTTTTCACTGATAGAGAACACGGGCCACCACAGGCACCCCCAACACAAGTGACGTCGAGCTGGCCACAGCTACCATGGCCACAGCCACCATGGCCACAGCCACCACAACCCCTCAAGTTCAAACACAATCCTGATGTGGCCCTCAATGAAGTTGAGTTTGGCACTCCTGATGTAGTGTCTTGACTTACAACTATAATAACTTGTGAAATTCTGAAATCTATTGTGGTCATAAGTTCCTGTAGTCTTGTTTGTAGATGTAGTAAAAGGCCTGTAGACACCTCAAATTATTCAAATAATTTGACTAATTACCCATATTTTTTGTACTATAAGATGACTCCCCCCCCCCAAAAGTGGGTGGAAATGTCTGTGAATGTCTTACAGAATGAATATTGTGGCAGGGGGAAAGGGGGTTGGTGTCGCGATGGCATTCGCTGCCACCACCTGTCACCACTGCTGCCTGTCACCGCTACCGCCGTTTGCTGCCACCGGGGAACACTGGAGCCTTCGCTGCCGAGCAGCTGATTGGCGGCTGAATCGGCCTCCCAGAATACTGCCAATCAGCTGTTCTAGGCAGCAGGAATCGCAGCCATTCCCCACTGCTGTTCGCCGCTATCATTTGCTGCTGCTGCCAATTGCTATCGATTGCTGCCTCCAAATAGCGACAGCGAACGGCAGCAGCAATAGCCGGTGGCGATCCCCCCCCCGCCTAGAATAGCTGATTGGCAGTATTCCAGGAGGCCAATCCAACCACCAATCAGCTGCTTGGCAGTGAAGGCTCCAGTGTTCCCCGGCGGCGGCAGTAGGTCAGCTCAGTTGACCGGCGGTGGACACAACGGAGCAGAGCCCTGACTAGCCACGTGCTCGGGCTGCAATAACATGCTGAAGTTGACCAGGCTGTTTGCTGCAAGGATGCTAGCCAGATGAATACCGGATGGATACTGGGAGGCAGAGGCAGATTTTTTTTTTCTTGTTTTCCTCCTCTAAAGCTAATGTGTGTCTTATGGTCCGGTGCATCTTATGGTATGAAAACTATGATATGTGCTATCATGTCAGTGTCAACTCTGATAGATTTTCTCCATGAAAATAATAGCCTTTCCCTTTCTCTCTGTTAGATTGAATTCAGTGCTGATCAGATTGAAGGTAAGTAATGGTTTATTTTAAAACTATTGTAGTTATATGCTATGTATGCTATAGTTATATGCTATGTATGCTATAACTATGTATTGTAGTTATATGTATGCTATTCCTCCCACCCCCATATTTTAGTGAATAAATCACCACTTGTTGATTTCACAAAATATACTAAACTATAAACTATGAAAGCCATTAAGTTCAGCAGGACATATGATAAAAGTTATTATGTTGGTATCAGTTATTATGTTGGTATATTGCTGTATTCAACACATCATATTAACTAAGATTTATAATGATGATTTTATAAACAAATTAGAATGGCTTGTTTTGCATAAGTCACATTATAGTATAGCATGACTGAACAAAATCAAAGTCCATAACAGAATAACAGAGTTGGAAGGGACCTTGGATGTCTTCTAGTCCAACTCCCTGCTGAAGCAGGAGACTCTCATTTTGAAAGCCTCCAGTGATGGAGCACACACAAGGAAAGTTGAACCTCTGGTTATTTGTTCTCATTGTTAGGAAATTTCTCCTTGGTTCTAGGTTTCTTTTCTTCTTGATTAATTTCCATCCTTTGCATCTTGTTTTGCCTTCTGATGCTTTGGAAAATAGGTTGACCCCTCTTTGTTATGGTAGCGCTCTGTTAATGTAGCCAAGATTCCATTGCCTTTTTTGGTTGGTGCTGAGATCACGTATTTCAGCTTCTTCAGAACTCTGGGATGTAATCCACCAGGTTCTGGTCATTTGAACTTCTTTAGAATGGACAGCTGTTCTTTCACCATTTTCTTGCTTATGTTAATTTGTATTCCTAGTTTATCTTTTACGATTATGTTTTTGATAACCGTAAATGATGTATTTTTTTTTTGCATGAAGACAGGTGAAAATATACAATAGCCTTGTTTAATAACTTTTGTCCATAAATTGGGTACTACCTGAAAGCTGCCAGGGACGCGGTGGCTCAGTGGCTAAGACACTGAGCTTGTCGATCAAAAGGTTGGCAGTTCAGCGGTTTGAATCCCTAATGCCGCGTGTACAGGGTAAGCTCCCATTACTTGTCCCAGCTTCTGCCAACCTAGTAGTTCGAAAGCACGTAAAAAATGCAAGTAGAAAAATAGGGACTACCTTTGGGAAGGTAACAGCGTTCTGTGCACCTTTGGTGTTTAGACATGCTGGCCACATGACCACGGAGACGTCTTCGGACAGCACTGGCTCTTCGGCTTTGAAACGGAGATGAGCACTGCCCCCTAGAGTCTGGAATGACTAGCACATATGTGCGAGGGGAACTTTACCTTTATCTTTCCCTGAAAGCTATTACATGAGCAGCTATGTTATCTATATATAGAAACTTTATAATATTTCAATAGTTTCAACCTGTATTTTTGAGCACTAGCGATTCCCCCTTCTTTCAGAGGAAGAGACATATTGCGGCATAACCTAAGGTTGGTTATGTTGAATTATGGTTGATAGTATGGCAAAAGACATTGTTATCTACGCATTATGGGAATTATTGGCTAAATCTCAAGCAGTAGCTTGAGGAAGGCAGAAAAACTGCCGTGGCAGGTCTGAACGTCAGTCCTGAACTTCAATCCAGTTTATAAATCCTTTGATATATTATTAGCCATTGTGATGCCACCAATGACCTAATAACAAGCCAACCCAACTATTGCTGTGCCTCAAGGATTTCTGTGAAGCTTAAGACTCTTGGGCTTCCACTTGTCTGAGGTTGCATACTGGCACTGTCTTCTTGCAATATTTCAATGGTAGAGATAAAATCATGAAAAAGGTGATGTTGGAGATCCAGAAAAAAGTAGACCATGCCTCAGAGGTAGTGAAGGATTTTGATGGTAAAATTTCAGCCTTGAATTCACGGATGGATATGCTGGAAGAGCAAATTCACAGCCTTGCCCAGTCAATAGCTGCAACTAGCTCTATAATTGAGCATGAGCAAGCATGCAGACAGGATTTGGATGGCTCATCTAGACAAAATAAACACCTCAGTTGCTTCATGAAACAGATCAAGAAATCGATGCAACTTCGTACTCTCAGGATCCATGGCTTACCTGAGAAAGAAGAGGGCCACAATTTGGCAGCCTTCATTGAAAAATGGTTGCCACATATTGTGAAACTAGGAGGCACTACCATTGTGGTGGAAAAAGCCTATCGACTACCACAGAAAAGGGAGAAATCAAATGCAAATCAATGCAGCAGGACTGTTCTTATTCAGCTTGCAGAATTAAAGGATAAAGAGAGGATAATGCAGCAAGTTAAGAAGCTAAAAACTATCGCATACAAAAATAACATAATTCTGATTTTTCCAGAAATATCCATCCCTGAAGGTAATGTTCTGGGCTGAAACTAAAACTGAACATTTTGAGTAATACCCAGTTTATAGGATCCATATATAGTATAACTATACTGTTTGAAATCAATGGGATTTAAGTTAATCATTCCTACTAAATTTAGTTGAGTGTACTTCTGAATCTATATTGAATATGCTTTTAATTAGGTTTCAGTTCAATTACTTTTTTTGTTTTCTGATGGTCACACAAAAGAACGTATGCTTCCTGCAACTTTAAATAAAACAGTAGATTCAAAACATAGGATAGTTCATTTCAGAACTATCTAAGCAGAAATAGATTTAAGATGACTTAATAACCAAAAAGCCAATAAATATAATTCCTTTAAGTGGAATAGTAGTAAAATAGTATAAAAATAGAAAAATTATTGGAAATCATGATTCTGATCTGTTCAATATACAACGTTGAATACACTGGCTTCCTGATTCTGCTTAAATATCTCTTCAGAGGCAAATAGACTATACTGTTTTGGTATTAGAAATTTTCTTTAACTAAAAGTTTAACTAAAAGCTTTTTTTCCTGTTCAATTGTGTTCAATTCTTGAAAACTGCCTGGACAAGTCTTTGGAGTTTTCTTGGCAAGCTTTTTTAGAAGCCACTGATGTCTTCTTAGGGCTGAGAGAAAGTGACTGGCCCAAAGTCACTCGGCTGTCCAACCTTTCTACCTTTTCCTATAATCTATTCTAGACCTTATAGCCACACCCGCATCACCTTTGGACCCCCATCATAGCCGATCCAGCATGGGAAGTCATCCTCTTAGGGCCCTTCGACTGGTCCTCCTCCCCAACCACCAGTCCCTGTTGCTTCTCCCCTGCCCCTCATCCCAGTCAATTTGACAAGGGATAATTGTCCCCAGCCAATTAGTTGTGCATCCCAGCTTCTCAAAATGGAAACTGGAAAGTTGGTGTGTGTGTGGGGGGGGGGGGGGAGACAGCAAATTTGTTGTTTTCTCTGGCAAGAAATGCTACTTCCTGACCCATTGTGCTGTGTGTACGTGCAAGCGGGAGTGAATTGTGAATTGGGAGACAAAGTGTGAGCTCACAGCAGGCTGCAAGTGACAGGAAAGCGGTGATGGCAGCACCAACAACACTATGAGCAGGATTAGGGCAGCAGCCAACATCTCTGCCACTTCTATTCTGGTCGGGAAAAGCGAGAAACTGCTTAAAGCTCAAACATTGGCCCACAGTGTGCTGGAAGACCTGGTTTTCAGCCTTGTGATTGGCTGTTGCTGTGCACTGCATAGTCACCGCTGCTACTTCCATATCCACTGGTACTGCCATCTGGGCTAGGGCCATTATAAATTCAGAGGGTGAGGAGGCATGTATGGACATGGTGGACAGGATGGGAGAAAGCAAACCAAAGGAACGATTCAGTGGGTCCCTGCAAGCTGCTGCCTTCCAGACGTTCCACGCTGTTACAAGGAGCCCCTTGGCTGAATGTTGCAGTTTTATGGCAAGGCAGCAGGTGGGCAGGTGGAGATTCGTGATGCTTCTGAAATAATAGAGTCCTTCCAAGCACATCCAGAAATCAGGAATTTGTTTTCAGTTTCTAAATCAGTGGTGGATTGCCCCCAGTTCACACCGGTTCTATAGAACCGGTGGTAAAACTGGCGGGAGGCTCCACCCACCAACCCCAATGTCATCAAAATGCTTCTGCACACGGCCCTGTTGCAAACCGGTAGTAAAGGTAAGTAGAACCCTGTTCTAAATGGAACTTGGGAGGAGGAGTTGGCTGAAAGTCTACCTTGCTATACCCCAATTGTTCTTCCTTTCCTCTGCCAAACTAAAAAAAAATCCTGCTACTGTAATGCTATTGTTAAAAATTTGGGGTTGAAAACTTGCTATCTTTTATAAGATTACCAATCACAGGTCTAGATTAGTTTCTTTATATTGTGGTGAATTAGTGCCAGAATCTGACATTGCTCAAAATGTTTTGGATTTGATCTATGCTCAGACTCTGACAGTCAATGGAAAAAAAGTAACAACATCACAGCTAGCCCGGCCCTGCCTGAATCCACCTTGGCCAGCCACCCAGTTCCGCCTCAGCCCCAGTCCTCCCCTCCAGCTAGTGATGGGGTGGGGAAAATGAGGGAGGAGAAGTCAGTTGAAGGGACTCTGTTGAAGTACTTGTGAGCGATGGGAGGAGGAAGGCTGGAGGAAGATTAGGAGAGCTGAGGAATCCTCCCTGGGAGATTAAAACCAGTCGGCGTTCCCCTCCCTTTGTCTATCGAGTGTGGCTACTGACAGCTGCTATGAGTGAGGCAAAAGGAGTAATGGATTGCAACCAATAAAAAGACTGGGTGAATTTTCTCTCCAGGGAACGATTACTAGGACACCTCACTCCCAACTTCATGTGGGCCTCTCTTGGAAACCATAGGCATCTCCCACTGTTCACACAATCCAAGGCCTGGATTTTTGGGTGGATTTCATTTTTAACATATTTTTATTTTCCAGTTGTGACCAATTGTTTCTCTTTTAATATACTCAGCCATCCAACGTTCTCAAGGGGGCCTGTGGGGAGGGGCAGTCAGGGACAGGAACTTTTCCTTACCAGCCTTTAAGGAGGAGGAGGCCACCACATCCTGTTGCATCCTGCCTTGCTCCATTCTGCACCCAGCTCCTCCTCACAATGCCGGAGCATCCCAGAAGAACTGAGTACAGAGTTGGGACAGGCAGAAGTTTTTTTTTAGTTTGGCGGAGGAAGGGAAACAAATTCCTGATTTCTAGATGTGCTTGGAAGTACTCTATTATTAGCCAATTATTATTATGCACGCCCCCGAAAAGTCAGCTGCAGTGGAGGGCCCAGGATGAAATGGGCATGGCCGGGCAGCTGAGGCCATTCCGATGTCCATAGAACAACAGCCCAAATCACTTTCTGCTTTGCAATTTCTCACATGGAAAGAGAGAAATTATAATATTTCTGTTTGCTACCTAGTCCAGCCGTTATGCTTTCTTTTGAGATCAGATAAATATAACCTCTCCAAAACTCCCACATACAGATAAAAATAGGCCTCCATTTCTGTTTTTTTAACTATTTCACATGTTGGTTAGGAAGGATTTCTACAAAACTTTCTGCTAATGCAAAGAGCTAATGGAATTTTGTTTTTTTGCTCAGAGTTCAAGGAAGCATTCATGCTCTTTGACAAGACCCCAACTGGAGAAATGAAAATCACATACAGTCAGTGTGGAGATGTCATGCGAGCCTTGGGACAGAACCCAACCAATGCAGAGGTCTTGAAAGTGCTAGGGAAACCAAAGGCAGAAGGTACATATATACAGAGATTCAGCCCTTTTCATATCATACTTCAAAAGTTTCCTTCCTATCATAAAACTATACATCTGCATTAGAGGTGGTATTCAGCCGGTTCTGGCGAACTGGTAGCGGAAATGTTGAGTAGTTCAGAGAACCGGCAAATACCACCTCTGACTGGCCCCGCTCCTGATCTATTTGCTGCCTCCCAAGTTCCAGCTGATTGGCTGGGTCTTCTTTTGTTGCTCTGCACAGGAGAATGGAGCTGGAAAGCAGGTTAGTGGGATGGGGGGGGATTGGGGATTTTGCAGTAACCTTCCTCCAGGAGTGGGGAGGGAATGGGGATTTTGCAGTATCCTTCCCCTGCCACGCCCACAAAGCCACGCCCACAGAACTGGTAGTAATTTTTTTTGAATCCCGTCACTGATCTGCATGTTCAATAACTGATCTACAAGCAATTGCAAAATTTAAGTCTTCTGAGCTGTAATGTATCCAAGTTCAGATCTGCTTGAATCAGTTTCCAAGTTTGTTGTCACAAGCTGCTATACTGATGAAATGGGGAAACTGTACCTAAATACATGGGAAAGTAAGTTTGTGTGTGTGTGTGTGTGTGTGTGTGTGTGTGTGTGTGTGTGGTGTGTGAGAGAGAGAGAGAGAGGAGAGAGAGAGAGAGAGAGAGAGAGGGGAGGGAGGACAGGCTAAAAGGAGTATTGGAATTGTCTGTTGCTGTATCAGAACTGTTACTTTTGGTATTTGTCATCATCAGCATATTCTTTCTTGTCAGAAATGAACACAAAAATGCTGGATTTTGAGACCTTCCTCCCAATGTTACAACACATTGCCCGATCCAAGGACCAAGGGACTTTTGAGGACTTTGTGGAAGGACTCCGTGTCTTTGACAAGGAAGGAAATGGCACTGTCATGGGAGCTGAACTGCGTCATGTCCTTGCTACTTTAGGTACAGGAAGGAATTTAGTCCGTAGCATGTTGAAGGGAGTAAAGTATCTGTAGAATTTGTGACAAAATTATGTTTTGGCAAGGTTCGACCTTCCAGAATAATTAGCATTTAACCAATCTGTCTGCTGTCTTTCAAATCATCCATATGTTCATATATACTCCAGCGTGTATGCACTATATAGCACACTGCTATGATTAGTTCAGACAGTGGATTTGAATTTAAAGCAGGCTATTTTTTGTGATGCTTCCATGAGTACTGTGTGTGTGTCTTTATAGTAATAATACGTTGTGATTTATGGAGCTGCCATTTCAGGAGTTTTTTTCCCCAGCTGATTGTGCAAGATCAATGCCTATAATGGGGTCCAAGTGTGAAAGTGAATATCAGTAATACTTTATACTAAAGAAATAGCCCTGGTCTTAAAAATCTCAGAGTAAACTTAACTTCTCATGCATCAACCCCTGAACTGTGGATGATTGTGGAAGCAGAGCAGCCCATATCAACCTGGAAGGCATTTCTTTATTATTTTATTTTCTAATTTTCTTCATCTTTGTCACAACTCCCATTCATATGTAAAACAAGCGGAACATTCATTTTTTTCAAGAATTCATTCTCTCATTTGGCAATTTTTTTGTGACTACAGGTATTTCTGGGATTATTGTTGCATATACAACTGCACCAGGAGTTACTTATTACAGGATGCCACTGCATAACTGGAGGCTTCTGCTAGAGGCTTCTGCTGTGCTATATCAGTTGTCTCTGACTTGGTGACTTCCAGAATTCTTTTGTCCATGTTAGCTAGACATTCTATGATTTACAATCCAAACAGATTTGGAGAATGCCAGGTTAAGAAAGACAGAACTAAATCTTATTTAATATTAACAACCAGATTTATTAAGTACGGTGTTTCCCCGAAAATAAGACCCTGTCTTATATTTTTTTAACCCCAAAATAAGCTCTTGGCTTTATTTTTGAGGAGGTCTTATTATTTTGGGATGCATGGGGCAAGACGGGGCTCCTCTTGCCATTTTACCTGATTTCCGTCTCTTGTCTCCCTAACCCTGACCAGAGGAAATGGCGGGGACAGTCTGCACATGCATTTAAATGTTTTCGGGGAGGGCTTATTTTCAGGAAGAACTTATTTTAGCGCATGTGCTCAAAAGCCCAATTAGGCTTATTATATGGGGAGGTCTTATTTTTGGGGAAACAGGTAGTTCCTATTTCACCTGCATTCAGAGATACGTACTGAAGCAAAATTAAACTCACTTGATTTCTATTTTATAGGCGAGAAGATGACAGAGAATGAAGTTGAGCAATTGATGGCTGGACAAGAAGATGCCAATGGCTGCATCAACTATGAAGGTATTGTTAGTAGATAAAACCCACTTTAAAAATCTGTTTAAAAGGATCCTTTGCATTTGCTGTTTATAGCTGGAGCTGTTTCTAAAATTGCCTAATGCTGTGAAGTTTCTACTGCTATTTTATTTCTTAGAAGTCTCAGTACAAATCAGACAGGAATAAACAGTGACTCCCTGAAGAAATAGAACAGGAACAATGTTGAAATGTTTGGGCTGCTGAAGTTACTGCTAGAATAAAGATTGGTACTGCAACCACCTAGCTTTCTATGAATATGACTGAGTAGGCTTTCCACTCCATTTGGTTGCTTCCTGTTTGGGACATAAGGACTACAATAGTAGTACAATTGGAATGGCCTGAGAATTTGAATGCCATTTAACTTCCTATAAAAAGTAATTCTTAAATTTAGGATCAAAACTTCTTTTTCAGTTACTTACCTGCACTGTCTTTACAGCAGGCATCATTTTGGTGATCAAAGGACAGACTTGGGGGTGGGAGGGAGAGACATTAATAGCCATCTAAAGGCCATGGTAGCATGGTATTGCAGGCTAACTCTGCCAGCAGTTCGATCCTGACCAGCTCAAGATTGACTCAGCCTTCCATCCTTCCAAGATTGGTCAAATGAGTCCCCAGATTGTTGGGGGCTATATGTAAACCGCTTAGAATAGGCTGTAAATCGCTTAGAATGGGCTGTATACCATAGAATGGTATATGCTATTGCTATTGCTGTCTACAAAACTTTCTTCACAATTATTGCAATCCAGCCCAATCCGCATATTCTGGGCAGCATACAACACAGCAAGATATGTAGAACAAAAACAAACATTCAATTGTAGTCTGCTTGTGTGTAAAAATTTTGTGTCAGTTTCAATTGGGAAAAATCGGAAGGGTAATAATTATTAAAACAAAGTAATTTAAATGGGATAATTTACAAAATGCTGGGTATCCACATGACCAAGAATGAAATTTGGGGAAGTGGAGGCCACTTCAGCATTTACTATGTTTTCCGGCAACACTCCCCAAAAACCTGTAGGTTGCACAATGGAAGATGGGAGAATTGTTTTCCTGCCCTCTTTCCCATCTCTCTGGCCCCTGTATCAAATAAAGACAGTAGCAAGACCTGACAGATAAGAGATGATTGGCTGCTTTGGAACAAAGGCTGAAATCTGAAATTTCTTAACAGCAGCAGGCAGTGAGGGAAGGAGGGGCTTATACCTGCTAGTAAAGTTATAGATGGCTGAGGGATGCTGGTGTTTGATGGGTGAACTCTTTTCCTCCCTGGAAGGAGGGAGACTCTGGAGACAAACCAGAATGGGAAGTGGGGGTACTTCCTTTATTCCCCATCCCCCCGCAAAGTGGCAGGCAGCTTCATAAGTCAGCTGAGGAGGAGGAAGACTGATTTCCAAGCTCCCTGGCAGTGTCCCATTTAAATGTATTGATAAAAATGTTTAAATTATCAATTTATATTGAATTAATGTAAGAAAAAGTATGCTTTCTAGAACTGTGTTATAGTTCAGACCATCTGGAACTACCTTTCAAATCCTTTTTTAATTTTTTAATATACTTAATGATCTAGATTAGACGAATTGAATTTTGAAGGCTCTGCACTGACTGTAATGAGACTTAACGCTTGACTAAATCTGCAGAATATTTTTTATTATCAGAATATCCTTTCTGATAATCTAGAGATTAACCTGTATTACTTCTAAATTCCTGTTTTTATTTTCCTCAGCTTTTGTCAAGCATATCATGTCTGGCTGAAGCTAGAATCTTTAAAGTGAGTCCTTTTTCAATATTTCTTATTTGAATCATTGTATAGTATGATTAGGAAAATTTCTGGCATATATTATCACTTTCGTTAGTCCTGAAAGTAGGTGTGGAAGATGATGCTAATGCTAAATATTTTAACATTAGCAAGTCTCAAAATAGCAATGAGAAGAGGGGAAGATGAAGTTAAAAAATAGAGAGTAATGTCATGGAAGTTTCAGGATGTTGCAAAACTGATGGTGACTGACAAAACTAGGAAGAGAACTAAGGAGTAAAAAATGCAATTGAGCTATAAACAGATAAATAGACAAAAAGACACAGGGATTAATTATAAGGATTCCTTAATAGATATATTTTGCTTTCCTTTTTTTTGCATTTTCATAAACAGTCAAATAATTGTGCAGTACTGGTAATAGGGCAACATGGCACACGCACACACACACACACAAATACATAACCAATAATTACAATATTACAGATAACACAAGTGTGACATTCTTTTCATAAAATGTGAATTAATATGTTTGGGCAATTCCTCATGGAGAAAAACTAAATAGAAAGATACTAATGGATTATACTAATTGAGCTTCTAATTGATCTAATAACAATTTGTGAAATTCGAAACTGCACTCCTTTTGTGACTTTTTGAAGTGGAAGAGATGTAAAACTGGACTTTTCCAAAAGACTGAGTTCAACAAAGTTCTGTGTTGTTGCAACTATAAATAATAGCATTTGCACTTTTTTATTATTATTGGAAACGATCTTGGCTCCATTGAATGAAAATATATAACTAACTATATCATGATTAGGTTACTACACACAGTTAAAAAAATTTAAAAAAAATTACTAAGAAGTCATTCAATTATCTTGTTCTTTCTTTCCAGATTCTTCAGATGAGTAAAAAAGTGATTCGGCAGAAATTTCCTCATACTATTTCCCCCTTAAAATTCTGTAGGAGATGAACCTACCACAAGCCACATTAAAGGGACCGCCCATTATAATAACAAAACCACTGCATTAAACACCTTTGCATCAATTTCAAATTTTATTTTTTTAATAGTTTCTTCCTTCTTTTTTGTTGCATCTGGTACATTTAAATTAAAATATGGATATTTGTGCAGGATGCACAAATTATTATTTGGTTAAAAAAAGGCCAGAAGGGGATAATAGTGTATATATGTGATGGCCCATAATCCTTCTACTCCTGGTTATTTTGACATGGGATAGTGGGAGTTATAATTAATCAGATATGGAACACATCAGATTGGAGAACATTGCTATATGAAAAAATAAAGATTTGTTTGTTTCTATCTTTCAATCAACTGCAGAATGTTCCATTTTTGGTAATGGATAATAAACTATGAGATGCTCTTTAGAAGAGGAACATACAGTTGCTGAGCTCTCTTTGGTATGGAACTATACAATAACTATTTATAGAAGGCAGACTGAATTAAATGCCGATATATATATTTATATATAATATTAAAATATATAAAATCTAGCTTTTAATAATTAATGATTAATTTTATATTAGCAATTTAATAGTTTGCCAATTTAACAAACATTTCAATGTATTTTCTTCCTGATATGTGTTAAGCACTCTCCCCAAATTGATGCTATATTATACACTTGTGGGATTTTAGTGCTGACACTTGACCATCTTGATTAATGGTGACAGTTCTTGTAATCCAAGATATCTGGAAAGCACCAGCCTAAGGAAAACATAAGGCAGCAACCATTTGGCTTTTGTAGAAAGGGCAATTTATAATCAATATATACATTTTTTGCCCCATATCATGATGACTGTATAGTTACTCAACATCTGCCAATATTTGAAGAAAAAAACATTCAAGGTAATTTATGATTCACGCAATGCAGACATAAAAATAAAGTAAAAATAATTACAGAATACATAAATATAAAAACAGGAAGATACAAATATAAATATGTGTATATTTATTGCAATTTATACCCTACTGTTTAGAATAACAATCCCCCTAAAGCAGATTCTATTTAAAATAACGATTACAATATTTTAAAACAAATATCTAGGATCTTCCCCATATGGCAGGCAATGGCTTTGGTCAGGAAATGCAGCAAAAGTCCAGCTGGAATAGGCTTTGGTGATGGTCTTTGACTGGCAAATGTAGACAGGCTTCCAAGATGCAATTTAAAGTGCTGGTTTTCAGTTATAAAATCTTTCATGGTAAAGAGCTATTTGCATGACTGCCAATCTCCAACTTTCTCTGGTCATCCCAAAAAATCTGGAACAATGAGCATGCATCAGGTTCCTTCTATCAAAGTACTATAGGACCTAACATGCTTTCTCTATCACAGCATTCCATATGGAAAAGCAATCCATTTGTGATTTGGATGGTCATGTAAGGTCCAATAATAATATGTTTAAGCTCATAGATGCCAAACAAGAAACTTAAACAGAGGCTTGAGTAAAATAGCATTTAATCTCAATCAAGCTTAAATTGTTAGCTGTTCCAAACACATACAAGATACATGCAGGTAACAACTACAAAGGAGAAGGAATGTGGAACCCCTTTTATATTGTTTAGGAAAGTCATAAACCTCCAAATCTGGCAACTTTGATTTGTGTATTCCTGGAATTTGATTTGTATATCCCCCCCTCCCTAACAGGGTAGAGCCTCTTAATGAGCATCATTAGCATTACCTCTTCCTGACCATCTTCCTTGTGTTCACATTTGGCTTTTTAGCCCCCTGGAGTGGAGGGAACTCAAAAGATAAAAGATGAGATAGGGTCTTAGGCAGGAGGGGGAGAGATAAGGCTCTGATCAAAAGGTGGAACATATAGGTTGACAAATGCCAGATACTTCACAACAGACCCTAATAACAGTCCAGGAAGTTTGTCAATGTGGCATGTTTGTGTTATAACTACAAAGGGCATAATATATATGTCAGTGTCACAGGAAACAAATATTTACAGCATGCAGGTATACAAAGACATCATATATCATACACATATACATTGCAGGAAACAATTAACAAGTTTCTACTAATTCTAATATTACAGTATATCTTATTTCCTTACTGTCATATCCTTGGCCTTTAGTAAGGCCCTGAAAATCTAGCTTTTCCTCTAAGCTTTGGACAGAACCTGGATGAGCCTGTCTAGAAATAAGTGAATAAGAATATGATATGGTTGGCCTGGGTTATTTAGTATTTCTGCATTTCATTTTTTAATTCCTTTTTGTTTAATTTTTAACCATATATAAGCACTCAGGGCTACTATTGCAAGTTAGGTGGCCATATAAATCATATTAATGAATAAAAGGAAGGAACGAAGTAACCTAGAAAGGGGCCACCATTACATTCTAGTAGCATACAGGAAACTCTTAAGAGATAAAAATAGATGGAAAAATAATGAAAATAAAAAGGAGCCTGCACTGTGGCATAAAAAGTGTAAAATAATAAGGAATTTTAAGGAATGAAGCAAAACCTTTTAAAAGCATATGGCAAAAAAATAAAGGGTTAAAATAGATTCCTAAAAGGAAATGGAGACTGCAGAGGAATTTAAAGAATTCCTTTCACCAGAGATTGGATTGATTTTTTCAGCTCAAAGGGACTAATGCAAACAATTAAAGCACATTGGGGAAACAAAAGAAGATATTTAAAATATTTAAGTAACTACACAGAATCACAATATCATCCATCTAGGAAATCTCAAAGAGCATAAAATTGCTGATTTCCTAACAAACTATAGGCCACCCAAATCATCAAGAATGTTAAAATGTCTTCTCTATGTCTGTGAATTTTTTAACACAAAAAAAGGCAACTGAAGGGGGAGTGTGATGCAGGTGAATAAAATAAGACATGACACAAAGAAGATATTTCTTCCCCTTTCAAAATACTAATGATTGAAAAGGGATTTAGAACAGACAATAAAGATGAGTTCTTCACAAGACATGGTTAATATAAAGAATTTATTTTCATAAAATGTAGTAATGGCCACTAATTTGGACAAATTTAAAAAGGGGGTTGAATATATTTATGGAAGATAAGTCTACCAAGGAGCAGGACAGCACATCTCCAAATGCCAACTGCAACAAAATAACTGAGCAGAATAATGCCTTGCTTGCTGCTTCAAACATTCCTGAAGCATCGGTCAGCCACTATGAGAGAAAAATTGCTAAACTAAGATAGATCTTGATAGCAGGCCAATCTTATCATATTAGATCATTGCTCCATGGATAAAAGACAACTTAAGATGAATTCATAGCATTCCATTATCAGTAGCAACATTCCAGGGTCATATTTTGGTAACACTGGAAGATACGTGATTTTCCTTACAGGGGTTTTCAGTTGATTCTGGAGATTTTCAATTATTCTAACTAAAAGTTAAAATCACTAGTAATTTCTGTTGGCAGGCAAGTTTTTATAGAATTGACATATAGTATGATAACGATATTTCTTCAAATTGAAACTATACTTCCTGAATATCAGTAGTTAGAAATTCTCTAGGATAATGTCACGGTTAATTTGGATTACTCTCTACTTTGCTGATATAAATTTGGCCCAGTTCAATTCTTTATGCCTTCCTCAAATCCTCAAATCAAATCATGAGTTTGCTGTTCAGGCAGGATCTTCCAAAGGAGAGGTGACCATATAACACACAGTGTATTTTATTACAAGTTTTTGTTGGCATCATCTGTCTCCCTCTCCTTCAAAATTTCCTGTCACAACTGAAGAAGGAGGACAATATAAATAGAAACTTAACAGGAGTGAATTCTCCCAGGACAATAGCCAACACTCAGCTGTTTCCTTTTAAAGTTTGGAAGCATTTTCTTCTTTAGCTCTAGGATAGCGCATGACTTAGAAGGCAGGGGTGCTTGAAAAGAAATAAAAATAGCAAGCTATTCAAGGAGAGCCTTTGCTGGCATTTCTTGAGTTTAAAAAAACATTCATACCTAAGATGGTTTTGATAATGGCAGCATGAATTTATTTCAGTGAAGAAGTAGAAAAAGGAGACCAAAGAAAGCTAAGAGAATAGTGCATGATATTACCAATGATCAAGCCTGAACTTTTAAAATATAAACTGAAATGTAAAATCAAATTTATCCCATCTCAGAATAAATATTGTTGTTCAATGATTAAATGGAAAGAAAATTCATTTATATACTCCATCCATCCATAGCTACAATTAGAAGTTATAATGCAAATAAAAAAAAAAGAACCACTAAACAGTGTGCTTTTTCTTTCAAACACTCAGATTTTACTATTTTGTGGATAAGTATATATGTAAGTGTGTTTGTGCATGTGTGTGTGTAAATCAAAGAGCAGGTTGCAATCAGTTGCTACCTTTGCTGGATCAAGTGTGAGTCTAGGGCTCAATTATCTCACACGTGCAAGGAGCACTACATTGGGCTATCCTTGAAAAGCATTCAGAAGTTCAACTGGTGTAGAGTGCAGTGGCACAGACAGTCTTTGGAGCCCCTGGAATGGCCCATGTTACACTGTTGTTCCAGAGCTGCACTAGTTGTTGATTTACTTCTGGGTGCAATTCAAGGTGTTGGTTATTATCTATATAAAGTCCTGCATGGCATGGATTCAGATTACTTAAGGCACCTTCTCACTCCTATGGGACAGGGCTGCCTCACCTGGGCTGGCAGAGGAGGCATGCTGCAGATCCTGTCAGCCAAGGAATTCTCACTGATAATATCCAGGAGGAGAGCCTTTTCTGCTGTGATCTCCAGCTCTTTGGAACATCTTGCCCTGAGGTAGATTGGCTCTCTCACCCTCCAGATTTGGAGCCCTAGTGGGGGAGTACCACATTGGATGTGATCAATTAATATCCCCCATCTTTGAATTATAACCTGTATTTTTATTATGAATTGATGATTTTTATACATTTTTAATATATATAAAACCGTGTGTGTGTGTGTGTGTTTGTGTATGTATATATTTATGTATATATGGTTTTATTTTGATATTGTAAACTGCCCAAAATCATTTTGCAGTGGGCAGCAAACAAATTTAATAAATAAATAAAATAAAATGTGTCTATCA